AGATGAGCCTAATCCACTGCAAAAGCTTTAAAACTACAAAGTTGTGTGGTTGAGGCATATTTCTTAGAGCATTACCAGTCAGTTACACCAGTGGGAACACAAATATCTCGTGTTTGCACTCTGGGAATTGCAGGAGTTTTTTGCATTCAGGTGGGACATAATTGATTTTCAGATGTCAAATAGCAGGTTGAAAGCAGTTTTATGTATGGACCATGCTCATGTCAGAGCAGAGAGTAACAGGGAATTCAGAGGGGAAGGACTAGCTGCTCTACATTTTCTTTTTTTTGTAATGTTTTCAAATGTTATGGTGCTTTAATAGTATAAAACGTCAAGGATTTTTTTTAATGCTGTCTCTCTAGTTTTATATAGCCTGTGTTCTCTATCGGTTTTGCATCTTATGGCCCCCTTTCTCAGGATTTCCTGAAAGCCAAGATTTAAACAACTGGCTTTCTATTTTAGGTGCTCAACTAAAATACCCTAAAAGGACTAATTTTTCTTTGAAGGGCTTGCACTTTTTCAAAGAAATGGAGGCTGGTATGGATTTTGAGTCAAGGGCCAAAGGTGAGGGCTGTCAAAATATTGAATCATTCTGAAAACCTGGTCAAGAGTATGTGAAATTGTGAACTTAAGTCTTTACAAATTTAAGATGATGTTTTCTATAATTTGCACTGAGTTGTAAAAATTTAAAAAATCTTGAATTTTTGTAAGATACATTTCAACTACAGTATAGTTCTGCAAGTCAAAGTTTCTGATGGCAGTAAAATATGGTTCGGTTTTCAGATATTTCCTGTGGTCTTAAGTGAATGTTTGGGTAGGAAGATGCATTGCTTGTATGTGTCCATTTAGGAGTCAGACTGAAGAGTAATGAATTAGTGACTGACGTCATGACAACCGTAAGACAGAGAAGGGTTGAAAAAGGCGATGAGGCGGCTGAAGATCAGTCTTCAGAGGAGAAGAATGTGAAGCCTGATGGGAAAATTCTATCTGGTGGGTAATGAAAAGGATTGGAACATTATGGCTTTTTAGTAGTGTTTGGCTTTTGGTATCTATCCTAAGAACAGGTTAGGACTAGGTATGTAACAAATACATTTTCATACTTGATTATCTATCACCAAAATTAACTGGGTGAGACAGAGGGCATGCAGAGTACTGCATGTCAATCTCATCTCTATTTTAAAATCCTGATTTAAATTGGTGAGAACAATTTTTTTCGATTTAATATCAGTGACACTCCATCAGATTTTGTATAGCCATCATGGGTTCTTAAGCGAATCCCAGTTCAAATCATTGGTAACAAAAGGATTTGAAGACCTCTGATGACTTGTACTTAAATATAAGCAGATTGCACATGAAATCTGACTTTAACTGCAAACTCTTGCTTTTTGACTATAGGACAGATTAGCTAGGTAAATTTCAAAGAGAGACATTGTTTCTAAATTTGAGGATCTGTTTAAGTAATCAAATACTGACAATGTTTTTGTTTGGAATTATAACTTTAGAGTTGGCAAAGTTTGTTGGGTTTGGGTTTTTTAATTATTTTAAGTGATGTTTTGATTTAAATTCCAAATGTTTCTATATGTGCAACTTGGGTAGTTGAAAGGAAAGTTACACTGTTGTTTGTACACAAGTACACTTGGGCTATACACAAAAGGGGAAAGCATCCTAGTTCTCATCCAGCCCAGCCCTCAGTCCTGTTGAATTGCATGTTTGGTAGCCATTATGTAGACATCACACACAGAGTATGAAATAGCCATTTCAAAGGTATAATTCCAGATCACCAAGTACCATATTAAGGCCTATAGCAACAGTAAAAAAAAAAAAAAAACCAAACCAAACAAACCTAAAAAACCCAGGAACATAAGCGTACAATAAACTGATTGAGCTGCTTAGAAACGCAACCTTTCTTTCCCATCATTCCATCTATAATCTTATTCTGATGTCAGCAGGAGGTCATCTGCAATTCAAAGCATGACACCATTATCAAAGGCTGCTTTGGCCGCTATTCAGTCTCTTTGTGTGTATTTAGTGAGACTTCTGAACGTTCAGTGTTGATTTTACAAAAACCAAGCAAACCCCCCCAAAACAGGCAGCTGTTTTAAGACATGTGAAGAAGATTTTAATTTCTTACTTTGTGGTCTAACAGTCATCCTATATTGCCTTAACTAAAAAAGTTGCCCTGGAGGATATTTCAATTTAGATTTACAAATTAGATATGGTACTTATCTAGATTTGTATAGGATTGTGGTTCTTAAACTAGAACTTACAGGTTCTTAAACTATAACTACATTTTACCAATTAAGGCACACCTTATTTCACTTTGCATGTAAATAAAATACTCTGAGTTTGCCATAAGAGAAAATAAAAAAACGCATCTCCATAAAGACCTCTTAAAACCAAATGCCCTCTTACCTACAGAATGAAACTGTACTAGCACAGGCAATGTATAAATGAGTTGCCAAAATTCCTTTAAGTTGAATTATGTGTTCCGTAATTACAGAGTGAAATATTTTTCTTCCAAGATCGTACAGGTGGAAAGCTGTGGAACATACTCTCAGTAACTGTTGGTGGAATTGTTGCCATCTCTCTTGGACTTCTTACTTCTGTTTATGTTGCTACACTGCATGAAAATGACCTGTGGTTTTCCAATATTAAGGTAACAGTCATTTTCATAGTTTCATCAGTGCTTTCGTAGAGCATTAATATGAGTGTTAGTTGAAATTTCATTTATTTATGTATATCTTTTAACTTGCTCAAAACCACGAATATTTCATTTGTTCAATTTTAAAAAAGCTGTGCTTCCCTTCCTACCACCTTCTAAATACTTGATAATTTCTATAAATACCTTCCCCCAATTTTTCTCTAAAAACATTGCTACACAGCTCGTGCCTGAGTTGTAGCTATGGTTTTCCAACCACTGATCATTATCTAGAATAGAATTTCAACAGTCTACTATATTTTGCTCTCTAATCGTCTTTCTTTTATCCAAAGCCATCCAAAGCCAAATGAAAAACAGTTAAACAATATGCAAAATCCTGGCACATAGTTCTTTAATTGTATTTATACTATGATATTGTAATACAGTTTAGGCAGAGTCTCTTACTATTCAATAGTAATTTTATATAATGTTATCCTAAATGTGCAAACCATAAAACATATTTCAGACATTCACCAGTGTAAAACCAACCATTCCCAAGATCCAGGACTAACTAGATTTTTCCTAGAATCATTGCATGGGAAAATAATGCAGCTGTGCACATACCTAAATTTAAACAGAGAAAAGAAACAGGTGAGTCATTTTCCTTTTAGATGCCTAAAATTCAATCTGTTAGGTCTACGCATTGCGTTATTCAAAGAGTAGATGTATTTAACTGGAATATTTGCATTGCAATACCTTTCCTATATGATGTACTTTTTCTGTTGCAGACACATTTATATTCCTGCAATAAAAATAGTTGGCACTTACTAAAAAAGTTGCTGTTGTATTATACATATAGTGCTGGTTTGTACCCACTCTCATCTTTCTTTGAATATATAGGTAGTGTATATGTATTGAAGGTGTACCTTAGGTTTGCCTTTTCCTTCCAAAAGCAAGTATTGATTAATTTCACAGGTATTGTATATTTTGAAGTACAAACAGGCGTGGATTTGTGACAGTGTATGAACATAACAGATGCAGCGGTTTTGTTCTGTTGAACTGATACAGAGGGACACAGAGTTCACTGAGAGAAGCAAGTCCGTAGTTACAATTAAGTTTCCCCCCTCAATGGATGAAATGTGTCCATTTTATTTGATAATTGTTGTTTTCATTTTAAGTACACTAGAATGCAATTAGCTATCAAAACTGAAATAAAACCTTCTAGATATTTTTAGTCTGGATTGTGTTGTCTCTGTAGCCCTCATTTCATCCTGTGGAATTGATATGATAACTAGTAACATTGGAACATGAGCCGTTTTAACCAATTTGATGGAAAGATTTCTAAAAAGCATTAAGTTCATCTACCAGCAGGTTAAAGGAGAAAGAAATGCAGATATTCACATTCTCACATTATACCTTCTTCAGTAAGATGTGAAGTGCACCAGAGAGTGCATGGGGCTACAGTGCTTGTTTTAAATTGGTAACAACAGGAAAGGCTTTAATGAGATTTCATATATTATTAGAGATAAAATAACCAGTTGTAACACAGAGCCAAAAGTGATCAAGCTTCATACATACTCCTGCTTTTTGAAGCTATGTGTTCAGTGAGTGTATACTATTTGTGTTTTTCATGTACACACTCTCGACTTAGATTGTTTCTAAGGATATCTTCCCAAATAGAAAGCTATAGTTCTAACTTGGTTGATCAGGAAAATAGAATTTATTTTGTAAACACTTAGGTCCCAAGTGAGATTCAAAGGTACTTCTAAAGATTTGTTCTTGAATTACTTGTTACAGCTTGAGACCAAACAGGTAGTATCCCCTGCAGTTTATTTGCAAATACAAAGAAGGTTGGGGATGAGTCAAGTATGATCAAATTTTCTGCAATTGTCTGCCAAGTCAGACTCTGACTATGCTTTCACTTTGATTAACAAGGTTTTAATGTTAACTTAAATATAGTCTAGACTTGTTTTCTTGCCAGTATCCATATCAGAGCATTTTGTTCCATAAGCAAGAATAGAAAGATAAGAAATCTAAATGCTATATTTTGATACACTTTCTCATAAGTAAGCAGAATACACGGATGACAAAGTTTGAACTCAGTACTGTTTTAGGAATAGTATGGGAAGATAAGACTGCATGTGAGCCTGTGAAATTTCCTGCAAAGCTGAGACAGGAAGGCTCATCCTAACATCTGTGAAACAGCGTACAGACATCTCTGTGCCTATATGTATGAGTGGACAGTGTAGTATCTCTAGATGTATGTATATGTTTTCCAGCATTTCGGAATCAGCTAATCTTGTAATTACAGTACATACTATATACTATATAGAAGGCAAGAATAAAGTACACTATGGAACAATCTGAAATCCTTGAAAATTATGTTGAAAATAAATGGAAAACTTGCTTTTTTCCCTGACGTATTATAGTTTGGCCAAAGTGTGTATTTTTGCATATATTAACTGTGAATTTTCTAAAAATTTCAGAAGAGTTAGTTTTATTTTAATGGGTACCCCAGCCTGAATTCTCAGAAGGGAAGACTGCAGTCTAGTCCTTGGCATACAATTATTGCATGCCTAGCTTAATAAAGCACAGAGGTTATTTTGTTTTCTTTTTGTTAAACATTACAGATAGAACAAATGGACACAATACTAATACACACCCAGTAGTTCATTGACCCCCATGCCTATGAAACAGTGATGCATCACTACTGCTCTGAAACATAGAAAAGAAAATAAATTCTGAATCAGTTATATTTCCATACATTTTAAATTAGTAACTTCAGTCACTCTGAATTGGCTGTAAACAGGGTGAAGTTGGGGATTTTGTGTTACTGAACTCTGATACAAAAATTAAACAACAACATATTATCCCCCTGAACTTTATTCCTTTCTTCCAGTAAGCTACAATTAGTCAGATGATAAGAATTCATACAGAAAAGAGTACGTATGGCTACTAAATTAATGTAGTGAGATGTAAAGGGAGACTTGTCATTTTTTTCTTTTATGTGAAGGTACTTCTCTCTTTGTACATCAGTAGGAGGAGGTCTGCAGTGTTTATCTGACACTTTTGCACTAAACTAGACAGAGGTTTTTACATATACCATTTAGGTATAAAAAGTAGAATTCTTGTTCGGAAGACCCCATTGATATATCAACATCACAATTGTGTAGTTACGAAATTGTGCAGTTTGCCAATTTTATTCAGCCCTAGAAGTTGAAAGTAAAAAGAGTTCATTATGGAAAGACATGATTTTTAACTTCTAAATAATTGAAGTCACAACTTGCACGTACACTTGTAGCGATTGCCTTTCTGTAATTACAATTGCAATTCATAGAAAGCCAGTTCAGTTTTGGGTGTCTTCCAGCAATGGTTCACCCAACTAGAAAAACTGTTCTGTGGTTGTTACACTGTTTTGGTCTATTTTGAATATGGCTTTCAACAGTGCATTGATTTCAGCTGCTGCAGTATGTGTGACTCTTGTTCTTACTTGCTAATAAATATGCCTGCTATTATAAATTTGCCATAGTCATTGGAGAAAGATGTAAAATTGTTTTCTTATCAGAAGAACTGAAAATGCAAATCTTGAAGAATGATTTATGCTATGAATGAGGTACATGATTGGTATTCTTAGTTTTTTATTCCAAGACTTCCCAAAAGAATGACAAAAAAAAATGAGAATGCAGAATACCATGTCACATAGTCAGAAGCTTTCCTGAAGTCAGATCCCACTTCCAGCAGGGATCGCAGGAGGTTATAATCATTTATCTCAACCTAACAATTTTGAAGAAAAAAGTTTGAATCTCTTCTGATATGCATTAAAACAAAGATTTCTGTTTATGATGGTGAAAGCCAAGATTGATTTCTTATCGAAAAATACTTTCTCAGTTTTCTGAAAACTTTCTGGCACAACACATATAAAATGGCTAGTCTATTTTCAGTGATTTTCAATAGCAGTTTAGTGACTCCTCCTCAAGTACAGTATCTTTTGGGAACAGGATCTACTATGAAGATAATAAAATGGGGGAATGGGGGGAGAATTTCATCACCTCTCCTGTCAGCTGTTGTATTGCTTGTTCAAACGCAAACCTTGAAGAACAGGAATGATCCAAGGCCACGTAGTTAATCAATACTGTAACACAAACAGGTAAACTTCAGAGGTTTCATTTGTTCTTCATCCCTTCTGAGTAAGCATTTAGACTACTATTATTGAGTTTTCCTTTAATAAAATTGCTGCTTGCAAGAAGAATAAAAATACCAAATTTTAAATCTTTCAGATACACAGGATAAGAATCCTGGGATGCCTTCTCTGAAGGGCTTATATTTTCCCTTTTTACATTTTGAGTATAAAAGAAAGATGAAAAAGAAGTGGGGAAATGAGTAGCCAGCTAATTAGAACTCTACAAAGTGAATGTGTAAGCCATGAAGAGAAGGAGGGCAGTCTGGTACTTGGTGGTACTTTTCCAAAGAAGTACCTGTTGAGTTGTTATGGGTATTTTTACTCTGGACTAAAAGTCTAATCTGAGTAGGAACCATGCCATTCTAACAGATGGGTGTGAGGTTAACCAGCCAAGACACCATGTTCAAGGATTAAATGCGTTTGCTGAAGGCATGATTCTCAACTGGGAACATTGATAGCAGCTGTCTGTATTGAGTTTACACTTGTATGGTTGAGACAATTTTCAAATCTTTCTGATGTTAAATTGAACAACTAAAATATATTTTCAATTACACAACTTGTGGTTTAGCTTTGTCAAAAAAGAAAAGTAATTGGAGCTTTGCTTATGCACTTTATAGAAAAACTCAACTCAGACTTTCGTATTCTGAATGACTTGGTTAAGGAATTTGAGGAAACCCAAGCTCTAGAATTTTGCACTGCCCTCGAGAGGAAGTCCTTTGTACTTTGTTTTGAATGCTTAATATGATTAGGCTACAATTGCATAAATTGAAATCATATGCAACTCTCTATGTATCCTGGAGGATAGTGTTCTTTTTTTCCCTGGAACAGTTATAACTTCTTTGTTGAAGACTCACAAATTGAATATACAGAAAGATAAACGTGTGCTCTTACAATGCTTACCCATAAGTCTGTATGGTTTTATTGACGTGGAATACTAGGAAAAGTATAAATTGCTACAGAACTGGAAAAGTATTGTGAGTGAATAAAACAGATGTTATCTTAGCATGAAACAGATGTAAAACTCACTAGTGTTTGTCTCATAAAGTATAGCATTTGGTTGAATACAGCTGGTGCCAGGATTACAAATTAATCATGTTTGAATGCATTTTTGCTAATTAGATCCCCCTCTGTGACTACTCTCTCCCCCTTAATAAATTCCAAATGTTAACATTCCTTCTTTCTTCTTTTTTTTTTTTTTATGAGCACTTAGAATCAGCCACGTTTTGGTATTAGAAAACTTCTCAGTAGTGATGAATTTGAAACTGGAGCTTGTTCAAAATCCAGCATTCTCATTTTGCTAAGTGTGTGGCTTTTAGTACTTAGTGCCAATGTCAGTTTCTTCTGCTGGTATTATATTGATTTGTATGTTGTAGAGCAGCTGGAAAGTTTAATTGTGAACTTACATTGAATCAGATGCGTTTTTATCTGTTGATTTTTCTCAGACCAGAATTAATATTGGTTTAGTTTGTCAACAGTTGACTTCAATAAAACACAGGTTTTGAGATGGGAGTCTATACTGGGCAGTAGAGGTGGGAGGAACATGATTTTTTATCTAGCTTTATGTTAGCTCTGAAATAGTATTGATTCTGTTCCAGCAAAAGAGATGGGACTATATAGGAAAGATTAAAGTCTTGGAATTCTATGCAAGGCTGCATTACCCAGAATCGGCATTCATAAAAACCTGAGAAAACAGTAACATTATGTTATTTCGCTAATGTTCTTTTGTAAAAAGAGCTGACTTAATAAGATTATTTTTAGAAATCTCACTTAAATGTCTCGACAACTTTCATACACCACATAACAGGAATCTCACTGGATTTTCAAATCTGGATGTAAACCTTTTCTAACTTACTGCTTCTGAGAGATACTTGTTGGGACGTTTTTACATAAACTACTAAAAAGATCACTACTACTAAAACAAGTTTGTATGATATGCCTATTGTTTCTCTTCAAATTGGTTGTTCATGCAGTCTTATTTTCTTCAAATGTGGTTGCCCAAGGCTCTGAATTTGTTAAATTTCATTAGGTCTTCACAACTAATGAATTAACAAAAGGAGGTGAATACCAAACCAAAGAGCCTGTGCTGAGAGCAGTTTTCTGTAGGAGAGCTTTCATACCTCACTGCTGCAATATCAGCCAAAAAAGCAGCATAGTTTGAAGTGTACCTAGTTTAAATAATTCGAACATTTTAAAATTAAAAATAATAACTTTACCTACACCTAAAACCAAGTAAAGAATCACTTTTCCTTTAACCTATAATTTAAGTATGAGAGTGATGAACAGCTGGCTTCCTACAAAAAACAGCATTTAAACAAGTGGGCAGCAGCATACCCTGCCAGATGAAATCTTAGAGTGGCATTATGATGTAGTTCCCAGTATAGCACACTGAATTAATTGAGCCTTAAGGTGGCAAAGCCAGGCAACACTATGGGATATCTACATCTAGAAGAAAAGGTTAAATGCATGGAGCAAGCATATGCAGTTTTAAAGTCCAGCTGTTGGCCACTGCGCCTATCTAAACATTGAACATTACAAAAAATAGTAAAAGCTCCAAAATGTTTCCTAACAGCATAGCAGAATCACAAAAGGCATATGCGTTTCCCCAGCTAACAGAGGCATTGGCACCTCAGCCATTTGCCTCTCACCCTAATTTGCCCACGTATTTTACCTTTATTTGAACTCAATTGCATAGAATGCATGAACCCAAAGGCTCAAGCCACTGGATAGGTCAATTTCCCTGGTGCAGCAAGAATTTGAGTTGAAGGCAACTTTATGTGATTGTGAAAAGCAAATGGAAAGTGAATTTACTATTGAACTTTCACTTGCAGGAAGTCGAAAGAGAGATTTCATTCAGAACAGAATGTGGACTTTATTATTCCTACTACAAACAGATGATTCAGGCTGCTTCCATCCAGCAAGGTATTGTAAACTGTAACGTAAGTTTACTTTGTGCTGCCAGCTGACTATTTTTAATATTTTTCCAAATCAAGTTGAGACAAGGAATACCATAACTGTGAAAGATAGTGTAACAGTTGTACTGGAGACAGATTTATTCTGTTCAGACACCTGGAAGCCACTAAGTTACGGACGTAATAAGTTTCACAATGATACATTGGTTTCTGTGCCACACCTTCACATTCTGATGAAGGCAGTCACTTTGAGGGACAACTTTCATATCTGTTAAGTTTTCAGCCTCTGCTTTATTCAGTATATTAGTTTCATTTTTATTCTTCCCTTGTTTAATTTGAATTATGAGCTATCTGTGGGAAGAGAAATTTTTTTTGCTGTGTGCCTGGACAGTAAGTGACACAATGAGCAGCTTCCAAGGAAATCATATACAGTGATGGGGTTTTCTGTGACAGTCTCATGTTTTCTAGATACTTAACTTGCTCCCTAGCAATTTTGCTTATACTACACATTCCGCAATATTAACATCACCTGTGTTCAAAATAGTGACAAGAATGGTTCTCAAGATCCAGTATGTACCACAGATTCTATGCTAGGAATGTAAGTGTAAAAATAAATGGATTTTGTATGTCACTAAATATATAGTACTTGAATTAGCACTCTGAGTCACATTCAAAGCAGGGAAGCTGAAGACCTCAGAAGGTCATGCTGATTCAGAGGTAATGTGATCTGAATCCTTGACTCAAAGTTTGCAGTTTTTGATGAAAGAGCCTAAAATACCTTTGAAAAAGTTATTCACTGTTCAAATGAAGATGGAGGGGGAAAATGACAATCTCCTATTTCAATTTCTCTTTATCATTAAGGTTTACATGGTTTAGTATATGACAATAAAACTGAATCTGTGAGGACAATTAACATACTTGAAAGAATGAATGTTTACCAGGAGGTGTTTCTCAGCATTCTGTATAGGATTCTTCCAATTCAGGTAGGCATTTATTTATGGCTTTAGATTGTAAGTGCATTATGAAGATTGCGCAGTGAATCATAGCTCCCCTTTTTAGTTATCTTCTAATTAGAAATATTCCTGATACCTTTTTAATTTGTAAAAGCAGAACCTAATTCATATTAAGTATAGTCCCCCCATGAGTGTTTTATGTCAACATGAGTGTTCTTGTGTTTTACAGCAATACCTAGAGCCCGTTTATTTTTATATCTACACTTTGTTTGGACTTCAGGCAGTTTATGTCATTGCTCTGTATGTAACAAGCTGGCTTCTTAGTGGAACATGGCTTTCAGGGTTGTTGGCAGCTTGCTGGTATATTACAAACAGGTAAGTGAGATTAAACATTCAATCTTTCTAAAATTGTACCTCATTTCAAAGGTAAGGCATTAAACTTTCAAATGCACAACTAATTGGACAAAAAAAATGAAACTATAAGGCCTCTCTCCAGATTAGCCAGAAAGTGGAAAAAAAATGTTTTAAGTCATACACAATAATTAGAAAATAATCAGAAATGAGTTGACTTTGCAGAGTAGGATTTTAAAGTTTTACAAAGCCTGAGTAGAAAATCTTGGCTTAAATTGGTCTGTGAAAGCGGACTGCATCTTTCAGATGTGTCTGGATCTCCAGATGATGTATCCTGTCTCCTCTAGCCTAGGATCCCTTAGGTGTTAAAGACACCTGTATGTGTGTGTGTGTGTATATATATATATATATGTGTGTGTATATATGGTGCGGTCTTTCCTCACCACCTTACACCCAACCTCCAGGGATTCTTTCAACAACCTAAAGTCAACAAAGTTCAGCTTCCCTGTACCCTTATTTCTGTAGATATCTCCTGCGTTAAAGCTCAGAGTAAAAAAAGATGGTAATTGAGCTGTTCTAGTGCTTTATCACTTGAAGAATTCTTGATCTGGAGAGAAAATCTAAAGAACTGTCTTTATGCCAACAGGAAGCTGCTGGCATGAAGCTAAGACTGGTGACATAGGCTGTTATCTATAAATGAATCAAGAAAATAAAAGTACAGTGTCAGTTCTATCAAAACTGTTTGATACGTTAATCAGCAGCTGAAAGAAGTCTATGTGCAAGTGTGTCCATTACAGAATAGTTATAGGTATATAGTGGTAAAATGTTTCTTTCTCCAAAGATGAAAATAATTTAAAAATACATGCAATGTGCAGTAATTTACATGTTTATTTCATGAGGTCATCTTTTCCATTCACAGAATATTTGGAGCAGATTTGTTTTGTCTATCTTTCTAATAATTCATGAACAATGGAAGCTTGTTATCTTTTATGCAAATAGAATAAGTACGTGGAATTGATTTGGATAAAGACTTTCTGTCCAGATGAAGTACATATGAGGCTACTTGAGTAACTCCACTTTAGACATTTTATCATCCAGCTAAGCATGTCTCATGTGTTGCTTACTTTCCTTTTTAGTAAACATTTTCTCTACACAAGAAAAAAAGGGAAATATTTTTTGTTTTTAACTTTTAATTCAGGCTTTGTAAATGACTGCCCTTTGGGGAACTTTTACTAACTTCCGCCACATACTTTTTATGTTAGAACATTCAAAAAATGACTAGAAGTTCCAGTTTAGTGGTATTCAAATCTAATGCACAGTGAAAAAATTGTTACCTATTTATTCTTATATATGCTTTTTGCAAACTAAAAAATGAAGTAAAATTACCTGTGGCGTGAAAACTCCACATGCTGGATTTTCGGAGTGTTTTTGTTTTGGGGTTGGTTTGATCATGTTTAAAATTACCCAAGCTATGCTTTATAAGACTTAATCCACAGTATAAGTTTTTTAACAGTAAGTGAAGCTAAAGTACAACATTTGAGGTATATGGATGACTTGCAGAACCTACATAATGAAGTTTTTTCAGAGCCAGGCATGTTGAAGGAACTAGAGTGTAAAGCCTCCATTTTTATCAATAAGTAGTTAAAATACCACAAAGATGCCTGTCATTACCACCTGTCTGTCACCAAGTTGGTGTTTTATTTGTTTTAAATTTATGAAACTCCATTTGTTTCGTACAGAATAGATACTACAAGAGTAGAATTCACCATTCCTTTGAGAGAGAACTGGGCACTACCATTCTTTGCTGTTCAGATAGCAGCCATCACATACCTACTCAGACCTCATTTACAGCCTGTTCAAGAAGTGAGTATTACTAACAAGTATGACACAGTAAAATTAGTCTCAGAAAACCATTTATAAAACTTAGGACAAAATACTTAAGTGTTTTTATAGCACACACACACAAATCACTTATAACGTTGAAAACATTAATCAGATGAGCCTTTTGTTAATTTAGCTGAAATACAAAGGAATACATATGCTCAGCACTGAAAAAAAAATAAAGGTAAGCTCTAAACAGTACAAGACAACAGTACTGTGTATTTAAGAAAACATTAGAGGAACACAAAGTGGGCAGGAGAAAAGCTTGTAAAGCATAAGGATTAAAGATTTTCTTTTGATTTCATTTGTTTTTCAGACTTAAGAGGTTGTCCTGATATGCAAGAATAAAAGCAAATTGGTGATAGTTTCTTTGAGAAGCAGTTCTTAAGTTATTACTCCTCAATTTGATCAAATAACTGCTATTTGTAGCATAGCAAAACACGTATTGCATATTAATCTATGGGCTGAAACTATTTGAGATCTCACTGTTTTCTTGGAAGTAATATTTACAATGGTAAAATACAGGCATAAATACAAGAACCTGTAACTAAAAAAATGTTCATTATCTTCAAAGCAGTTATTGCAGTTAGAAAACTTGTATTAATGTTTTAAAAATGGATTTAAAATAAAACCAAATTAAGGTGGGTTTTGGTTGTTTTTGTTGGGAGGGGATCGGGTTTTGGTTGGTTGGTTTGTTTTTTAGTAAAGGAAACTTCATTCCCTCCTTCCAGAGATTGACACTTATGACTGTATTCATAGCAACATTTCTCTTTAGCCTGACTTGGCAATTTAATCAGTTTATGATGCTGATACAAGCATTGGCATTATTCATACTGGACTACTTTGACATGCTTCCCACAGCAAAGGTAAGACTATGTTTGGAAATAATCAAATTTTTTTCTTTCCTATCATAATGGTAACAGTTTTGTAGGTATTTTACTAACCAGTGGCCTGGATGCCCAAAGTAATACAGATAATACACTGTGCTGCTTTGTGCTTTTAGGTAATCACAGTGTATATACTGCAAGTATAAAAATAAATAATCAAAACATCACTGTTTCTGATTTTTTTCAGCTGATTTTATTGCAGTTTATGTAATTCACTTCTATTGTTTAATTTTTATCTAGTTTTGTTTAGAGACAACTATATTTTAACACTCTTAAGGGATTGCTTTTAAACACCATCATAACAGTTGATCTAATACCACAGCTTAAGCATGTCCTCCAGAAGTGGTCATAAAAAAAACAAAACAAAAACAAAAACAAAAAAAACCCCAAAAAACCACCACACCACACAAAAGGAGCACAAGAAATCTTTGCCTAAGCTGAAGTCATTTTGCCTCAAGTATTATCCATCCTCATCTGAAAGCTAGGTGTAGGCACTGTACCAGAAAGAGGAAGAAGATAGAACAGATTGCTTAAGAGAAGCAGCTAGCTTTCATACATTGAAATTCACCACAAAATAACAACGTTGCTGCTGCTATGTTGCTGAACTGAATGAGCCAAAAAGTAAAACAAGTGTTACTAAGAAGATAAGGGATCATTTACAGTCAGTCTTAGGAAATAGAAATGTACTGTAGGAGATGAAAATACTGTCTTTGAATTTAATGTTGCTGTGAAATTCTACCGAGATTATTTTAGCCCTTATAAAAGCTTACACTACTTGAGAAAGGTTTGAACTTTACTTTAAGGAAGGTTACAGGAGGGTGAAGAGTAATTAGTGTTAATTTCATTTTAAATTTGAAGCAGACTTGAACATTAGTGATTGTATTAATTTATCTGAAAATTAGTATGGTGGCTGCATATCAAAATAAATGTGGTTTATTTAACAGTTTCTAAACTCTTCATTATATCTGCAAATGCAAGCTGAAATTAGCAATTAATGTGACTAATCAGCTACCTTAAAAGTTGGCAAATTGCCAGCTTCATCCTGAATTAAACTAAAATGGACTTACTGCACCACACTTAGTCTGTATTAATTTTCCAAAAAGTCCTACTTAAAACTGTTGGATTTGGGCCATTTGATACTGACTTACACCACTGCTGTAATACAAGACTGAAGTCAAGATCTTTGTGTCACGTAAAATTTACGTTTTGGTACCACTGTATCAGAAAATCTGCTGGGTTTTAGTGTTTGCATTCAGCTGAACATTTGTAATAGTTTAGCATAGCTCAAAGAGGACTTTACTAAACTATTATAAAAAAGTTAATCAGCTGATGTTTGACTGCTGAACTGCACTGAGTCAGAACACTTTAGTCATAAAGACATTAGAGAGGCTATAGAAACACTTCTTTGACTAAAGAAAATACAAAACATCTTCCAAATATTAAGTAATTAATAATTTCCTCACTCTGCGGTTGTGTAACTTATCATCTGCTTTATTATAACATCAGGCTTCCTTAGGTATAAAATAGGTATAAAATACTAACATAACTAGTTCAGGATATAAATATAGAAAAGATATAGTAATGGCTTTAAGTGTAATGATTTAGTGCAAGAGGATACTTTTTTTGTAAAAATAATTGATGTTGAAATAAATTATAGGACATATTCAAAGCAAAGCAGCTATGACTGTAAAGTTTTGTAGCCATAAAAATCTCATTATTTTTACAGGTTATGTGGCTGTATATAATTCAGATTTCTGGATTACTGCTAGTCTGTGTCCTACAGTTCTTTAATTCTATGATTCTTGGATCATTACTTATAAGTTTTAATGCTTCTGTCTTGATAGCAAGAACAATGCAGGTAGGTACTGAAATATTTTTGTAGTACTAAATAAAGAGTGTGAGAGAGATCTATATAGGTAAATGAGTAATTTATATGCATTATAATCTTAAATTACTAATACTAATTAGAGGAATTACTATAGCGTAAAGCAACAAAAACATTGCATGATCAAATAATGAATTCAATTACACTAACTACAGCATAACCAAGCACATCAGACACCATAATTCTGTGATTGCTATTAACATTTATGGTTGTGCAAGCTGCAGTTTGGATCCTGCAAAAAAATTGCAAAAGAAAAC